GAGAAACTGCACCCCAGCCAGAGGGACTGCCCCACATCTGCATCCAAATCCGTTGGTCACCGAATTCAGTAATCTCTGTCTCGTTGTCCATTCTGAATGTATAGTACTCCCAATTCTTATATTTAATCCGGTGTGTGTCCCACAATCTTTGTGTCTGTCTGCTGTATGTATGTGGCACGCAAGTCTACATGCACTGTGTCTGTTATGCCATTTACTCTAACCAGTTTTTCTTTTGTTTTTTGTGTGTGTCACAACTCTGACATGTATGTTCTCCTATAGGACACGAAGTACATGAAGAGGAATGAAGAAGCCCATGTTTGAGGCTCGTCTCCAGGGTGGAGTATTACATTTATAAGTACTGAAGTGGCATCTGGCATCTGACAAGCTGCTCCTGTTTGCACAGCGACTTCAACATTGTGTACTGTGATCAAGGCCCTGGGGAGTCAGCACAGCTAAACGGACAAGGGCACATGTATGAGTGTGGGGATGGTGCTAGTGATGGGCTGTATGTGTTTAGGGGAGTGCCCCCCTGCCTTTAGTTTCCCCTGCCCCCCCCCCCTGTTTAGCCCTCTCTTTCTCTCCATTCTCCCCCTCCCTCATGTTTCTCTCCATTCTCCCCCTCCCTCATGTCTCTCTCTCCATTCTGCCCCCTCCTGTTTAACCCTCTCTTTCTCTCCATTCCCCCCTCCCTCCTGTTTAGCTCTCTCTCTCCATCTCCCCCCTCCTCTGTGTGATTCTGTGCCCTTTCTTCCATTTTTGGGTCCCCCCCCCCCTTTGTCTCCCTGTCTGTCCTCTCTCTCTCCTGCCTTCTCCTGTCCTCCCTAGTGTCGCTAGTGTTTCTTCGGTGGGGTTGGGTGCTACCGCCACGTTTGCTGTAGGAGCGATAATAGGCGCTGTTGCAGTTCCTGCAATGTCGTGTGACTCTCTGGGCATTTTCACCGTGGTGCGGGGGATCCGCCTTTGGGGCTGGGACGCTGGGGTTTTTTTTTTCACCTGTCGCAGGTAATTTAAACATTTTTAAAAAATTTAAAAATGGGAAGGGAGAATTTGGTTGAGATTGTCTCTCCCCTGCCAACGGAGGAAGCTCCTCCACTGCGGGAGAAGGACGGCGATCAATCCATTTCCGGAGGGTCCCCAAGATTTTTTGGTTATTGGATTTGCGCATTTTAATCTGAAGGGGTGCCTCACGAGTGCTCCGCATTGTACTGCTACCAGGACACCATTTGGAATGATGGTCGTACCTGTGGCAGAGGTGTTACAAGCAATTTCGTCAACTTTGGCGGTGTGCCCCTCAATTTTCTGGACCAGGTGGACATGGCATCTGGCTCCCCATTATGACCTGTGCCGCTGCAGGGTGGTTTCTCGTATTTTCTTGGGGAGGCTGTTGGGGGCGGAGGTCAGGCTGTTGTTGCACATTTACTGACAATCATTGTACATGGGGTGACTCATGCATCGAATGCTACACCTGTGGGGGTGCTCATCCCATCTCCCGGTGTTTCCACGGGGACAAGCTAGTGTTTCCACAGGGGATCTCGGTACTACGGTCAATGAAAATAAAAGCCGGCTGGTGGTAGAGCATTTAAGATGATGGAAATGTTGGTTTGGATGAGGGGGGAGACGAGACACCAGTGGGTAAAGTTTTTGGTGCATAGGCACCTGGTTAAGTCAAGGACGGTTATTTAAGTTGGAGGCTGTAGGGCAATAAGTGTTAATTTAAATGTCAATTATGGTATATATATATATATATATATATATATATATATATATATTTATATATCAAACACACTGCACTTTTAGCTGGAAAAATTCCAGCAAAAAAGTACAGAGAAATGGATTACTGGGGTACTAAAAAGGGCCTAACCCTTATATTAACAAATATACAAAGAAAAAGAGGGGCAAGAATCCCAGAAACACCGGGAATAGATCCCCTCAGGACTAGTACCCCCTATAGAGCAATAAATTTTATTTGCCCACTAACCGTGTATAGAAAAAATAATAAAGATTTATTGAAAAAGATTAAAAATCCCATAGATAGTGTGCTATAATACACCAAACTGCTATAAACTAGGAATAAAGGGAATCAGCTAGAGTGCATATAACTATATGATACATTTGGATACTGAGTTGCACAAAATCCAGTAGAGAAGTAGTAAGCACATAAGCTATTTCAAATTAGCAACAGTATCCATGTAGTGACACATATAAATGTAGTAGACACCAGCTAAAAGCTGCATTCCAATTCCTACACACAACGAATATACTCTTCACTATTAGATATCCAGATTAAGTATAAAATATATAGAATGGTTAAATACATATATAGATAGGTATATCTTGGCCACAGTGGCTTCAAGTATCTTTATCAAAGTAGGTAAATCGAAAGGACAGGAAGATATCAGTGGAGAGAATGAAGAATAAAGTGGGGAGGCAATAGAAGATGTTCAATAGGTCAAATGACCCTGAACTATAATTCAACCGATGAAAACAGGCTAATTGCCCAAGTACACCCCCCACCCCATATAGCAGGAGCCCAACGCGCGTTTCGGCGGTAATGTCCGCCTTTCTCAAGGGTATGATAGTGTGCAAATATCCTCCCTTAGTCCTCTCCCTTATATGCACTTACAATTGGCGCCAAAACATGCCCGCCCGTCATAGGGGGGCTTGGTCTTCGTTTTGACACGCCCACATATTTCGTCCGAAAAAAGAGGGGGGGTGGGAAGAGGGTTTCCAGGGTGCCCAAGTGCCTTGCCAATAGAGGTAGACCCACACATATGAGATCCGGCAAAAAGCGCATGCGTCTAAGGCCGATACTCGGTCAGAAAAAGAACGCATGCGCACACACTTAGCCGGCATCGACGGAGTCCCTAATATGCCAAAAGTCCTCTGGAGGCTATTGCACATGCGCTGAAGTTGGCATTTCGCCAAAAAGACGCGCATGTGCAAATCCTCACATAAAAAGATACAATTTAAACACACTATGATACCTTAGTTCCATTCAAAGTCATATATTTCTTAAAGTTAAGTATAAAGTAACACAGTATAAGAGTAAGTAACCAGAAATATATATGTATATACATAATGCTTGGAAAACATGAAACAATATCATAGAGAAGATAAAAATAAAGGAAAATTAGGACTCTATTGTAGAGAGGAACAAAAAAGGGGATAAATTAAGAAATAAACAATAATACAAAAGATAATAATAATACTAGCCATTCCTAAAAAATTGGCATGTCCATTTAGAGTTACAGATATTCTGAAAGCTGGAAAAAAAGGGGAGAAAAATAAATAGATAAACCCTACAAATATTAATCCAGATCAAAACTGTATTTATAAATATTAGACAGCTTATCCAGTGGTAAATCACCGGCAGAGTCAATCCTTCCAGATCCAAGTTATATTCACTGATATTAGGGCATGTACCCAAAATTGGATCACCCATGTGATCAGTCAATATTGGTCAAATAAATCCTTATAAATCAAAAGGAGAATTATTAAAAGTGTGATGTAGCCCAGATATAGCTCGCGAGACTTTATACAGATGTATATATACATTTATATATCTCCAATATAACAGATCAAATAAACGGAGCAAACGAGAAGCCCTCATTTAGACCCAAAGGTTGTAGAGTCTTGAGTCTATAGATCCATCTAGATTCTCTCTGTCTCAATAAACGATCATAGTTCCCTCGCCTCGGATGTCTCTTAACCCATTCAAGGCCACAGAACTTCAAGTTACTAGAGTCACTTCGATGGTATTCTTTAAGGTGTCTTGAAATTGGTGTTTCTTTTTTTTTTTTTTTTTAATTGAATTTTTATTCATTTTAAAACTAAGGGTACAGAAAAGAGCGTTAGGAAAAAAAAAAAAGGGGGGGGAATTACAATCCACATTATTTACATAATACAATATCTTTCTTACAAGGTTTTGTTATAAGTATTACCAATGTCTAAAATAGAGGGGGCGGAGCCAACTGCCGACCGGAATGGCAGCACAGTAGCAGAGCTCCGGCGAGAAAGGCACTCAATCCGCGGACATTGGGCTATCATTTAAACATGGGACACCCCAAACGCACGCCCTCATCCCAGAGAACGACAGGGAGGTCAGTGGCAGCAAAAACCGGAGCCCTGACGAAATATTTCAGGGATTCCAAGGAGGCTCACGAAAGCATGGTAGGCCCCAATATGGCGCCGGACTCGCCAGGCACTACATCCCCTCCCTCTAGCCCAGCTGAATCTACAGGCTCCCTGGTACTACAAGACCCAGACCTGAAAGGTATACTACAAAATTTACCATCTAAGCAGGACATAGCCAATATGCTGGGGAAACTAGAAGCTGCATTTCAGTCTAAACTGGAAAGTGTGGGAGCTGATATAAGGCATACTAAAGATAGAGTGAGTGCACTGGAGGACGACAGGGATGCAATACAACTCCAAGTGTCACACTTGCAATCTGTTATGGAAGCACATTCTGCACAGGCGTTTGATATACAGCGCTCATTAGATGATTTGGATAACAGAGGTAGACGAAATAATCTCAGATTAAAAGGGCTACCTGAACAGGACACAGAAAATCTAACAGAGGTACTGCAAGAAATATTTAATCTCCTCATGGGAAAACAAGCCGATACACCACTCATGTTTGATAGGGCGCATAGAGCGTTGCGCCCCAGAGGTGCACCAGCGGACAAGCCAAGAGACGTAATCTGCCGTCTGCACTATTACTCCCAAAAGGATGACATACTCAAAGCACTAAGACAAGCCTCCCAGCCTCTACTATATAAAGATGCTCCAATCTCGATCTACCGTGACCTATCCTGGCTGACGCTGCAGGCAAGACGGACTCTCAAACCTATAACAGACATCCTACGCCAACGCAACATCAGGTACCGATGGGGGTTCCCCCTGGCGCTAAGTGTTAACCACCAAGGCAAAGTATTTACCATCAACTCCACTCATGATGTCCCCGTCTTTTTACAAGCACTGGACTTACCAGATACAAGAGTACCCGACTGGTATGGACTGCCACAACCAATGCAGAGGGAACCACTACAACAACGCACGAGATGGCAACAAACGCCGAAAAGACGGAGGCCAGAACAAGCACTCTCCAGGGCGTCCACGCCAAGGGGAGCCCACACAGATATGTACTGATCTCCACGCTCCCAAACAAACGCACAACATGTACAAACAGTAACTTCAGAAGACCGCTAGCATTTTTGCTGCAAATACTCCTCACGCTCCTCACCCCAGTAAGCAATTGGACTACTACGGGTAGCGGGGCCTTGGGAGGGCGGCTCCCCTCTTTCTCTACGGGGATCCGCGCCCCTAACGCTACCGAACTCAGTCTACAACCGCAAGTATTTTTAATATGTATATGCACTGATGACACTAGCTAAAGACCAGAGGCCATAGTAACTACAACACCCATATGGCCACATGAATGACAGCTCTGTAGGAATGATGGGGTCTTGGGGAGGCGGCCACCCGGCTGGGTGCCCGTGTCCCCGACGCCGCCTGACCGGTTATACGCTCTGGGCTGGATACTTATATCCCATCTCTCAAATAGTAAGGTTCGACAACCGCAAGTATTTTCAATATGCATATGCACTGATGACATTAGCTAAAGCCCAGGGGCCATAGTAACAGCAACACCCATATGGCCACGTGAATTACATCTCTGTAGGAATGATGGGGTCTTGGGGAGGCGGCCATCCGGCTGGGTGCCCGTGTCCCCGACGCCACCTGACCGATTAGACGCTCTGGGCTAGATACTTATACCTTTACTTTTATTCACTTTCTAATAGAAAGGTCATATGTATACCCCACCTTACTGCTACCTGTGAATCTCAAAACTCTCCATCATGCTCACACGAGCTAGCCACATAGGGAGTAAAGAGACACTGAGAGATAAAAATCTCCTGGGGAATGTTAATGACTTATGTGAATTTTCTGTTATATGACTGTTGATCTGTTTTAGCAGCTAAATGCCTACTTCTGGTGCTACTGACACTGTCCCAGATACTGATTATGTATATTACCTTGCATACGTAAGCCCACTAGCGACAAAAACAAATATAGAGTGGATGAGGCCTTTCCCGGACTCGGAACCTTAGCGACTGAAACACCCCCCCCCCATCTGTCCATCCCCACCGGACGGGTAAGTAGCCTATTTGAGAGACGGCTATACATGCCCCAGAAGTATCAGACCAACATCTGACAACAGTCAAGTAACCACTGACTGTGCGGTGCCAAAAAGGACCCCATCTAGATAGGCCCCCCTAGACTGGGTCAGACACCGTCGACTGACTTAATACTACCAAACCTAGTACGTTATTATCGCAACTGTATATAGTTATTGTTCTTTTTGCTTTTCTCTCTATTTCATACTCACATTTGTTGTTATATATTACTGAAATTGTTACACGACATAGTTACCGCTGACTACTATACGACCACTGAAAGCAATGGCACAGACACCAGCGACTGCCACACCTGCACAGCAGATACGGATATGTACGATCAATGTAAGAGGACTAAATATACCGGAGAAGCGCACACAAACCCTGATGGAGCTACATCGGCTCAGAGCCGATGTGGCCTTCATGCAGGAAACCCACTTTAGGAAACATAACGCCCCCTCCCTCAGGGACAATAGGTACCCCCATGGCTTCTTCAGTGACTACACACAGGCTAAGTCTAGAGGGGTGGCGATACTGATATCGGCAAAACTTCCCTTTACGTATCATTCTCATGAGGCAGACGACAGTGGGAGACTACTTATGGTAAAGGGACAAATAGGCTCCAATATGGTAACCTTCGCGAACTTATACTTACCCAATAGGAAACAAGGGAACCCACTCAGGAAATATCTACGTAGAATAGAAAATTTCACAGAAGGAATATTGGTAGCAGGGGGTGATGTAAATGTCTCCCTAGACTCCACCCTTGACACGACTTCACAAATAAAGACCTACCAAACCCATACACGACGCCAGATTCAAAAACTCCTAGACGACGCCCAACTATATGACTGTTGGAGGACACTGCACCCGACATCCAGAGACTTCTCCTTCTACTCCCCCACAACGGGCTCCTACTCGAGGATAGATATGCTCTTCATGCCACACAGATTCTTACACCTCATACAAAAAAGTAGTTATGGTCCCATCACATGGTCGGACCATGCGCCCTTAACGCTGGAGATTCAGATCCCCTCCTTACCACTTACATCTTTCCATTGGAAGCTAAATGACTTATTACTCAATGACGCCACAATCACCAATAGAATAAGGGATACACTTACAAACTATTTTTTAGATAACAATGACCCGAATATGTCCCCTACAGTAATATGGGAAGCACACAAGTGTGTACTAAGAGGCGAGATAATTGCACTGGCCTCCAAGCAGAAAAAGCTCAGGGAACTCAGAATTAAAACACTTACACAAGAAATACGGCTTTTGGAGACTGCCCACAAAACCAATAATACGATAGACCTCTACATACAGCTGACAGACAGACGCACGAAACTACAACAGCTCCTGAATGCCTCAGTTAAGAGGAAATTATTACTCACCAGACACTCCTTCTACACACAAGGGGGGAAATGTGGCCGCCTCCTAGCTAACGCACTCAAGAAAAAAAGACAAAACACATTCATATCCCATATAAAGACACCATCATGTACACTAACCGCCATGCTACCAGATATCACAAAAGCCTTTCACGATTACTATTCAACGTTATACCATCTGTCGGACAAATCACCGCCCAAAGAAGTAATAGATAACTTCCTATTGTTCAGAATAAAGCGTACGATACCTACCGTAGACGCTAAATCCTTGGAAGCACCCATCACTTCAGACGAGTTTAGTGCAGCGGTAAGGCATCTACCAGTGGGCAAGAGTCCAGGACCAGATGGCTTCACAGCTAAATACTACAAGCTATTTGCCTCCACACTGAGCGTACCCTTCACAACGGCATTCAATGCTCTAACAACACACACCACTCTGCCTGGCTCAGCCTTGGAAGCCCACATTACCCTAATCCCCAAACCCGGTAAAGATCCCACCGACTGTGGAAGCTACCGCCCCATATCCCTTATCAATATCGACCTAAAGATTTTTACGAAAATCTTAGCAAACAGGCTACGTAAGCTCCTTCAACTTCTCATACACCCAGACCAATCAGGATTCGTCCCAAACAGGGAGGCTAAACATAACACCAATAAAATACTTAACCTGATCCATTTTTCTCAACACACCCCCAAGCAAAGCGTCATCTTTTCGGTCGATGCCGAAAAAGCATTTGACCGAGTGGATTGGGCTTTCCTCCTAGCCACACTGACAGCGTTGGGCCTCGGCCCAAATTGGATCCGGTGGATCCAATCCATATATTCAAACCCAATCGCTAAAATTCGAATTAATGGCCAACTTTCACCACCTGTGCGAATATACAATGGAACAAGACAGGGGTGCCCCTTGTCCCCATTACTCTTCATACTAATCCTAGAACCGTTCCTACAAGGAGTAAGAGACAACCCTGACTTACACGGATTCCATATAAACAACAAAGAATATAAGGCTTCTGCTTTTGCAGATGACCTGTTATTCACGATAATGGACCCAACCACATCCATGGGCCCCTTAGTGGAAGAGTTAGAGCAATACCAAGTAGTGTCCAACTTTAAAGTGAACTTCACCAAAAGTGAAATCCTCCCTTTACGAATAGACCCCCACAACGCAAACTCTCTTAAAGCTCGATTCCCTTTCAAGTGGACAAACAAAGCGATAAAATACTTAGGAGTACAACTACCGAAAAACCTCTCCTCACTATACTCTCTTAACTATAAACCCCTCTTAGAAACAATCTCCCAAGATCTAGTACAATGGTCGAAACCCCACTTTGGATGGCTCTGTAGGGTGAACATCATAAAGATGACCACTCTACCCAAAATACTTTACCTCTTACAAGTTTTACCAATCGCACTCCCAAAAGCCTTCTTCTCTACGATGAGACGGCTCTTCTCGGAATTCATTTGGGCGCACAAACACCCTCGACTCAGCTACACAACTCTGACTAAAAGGAAAAATTGAGGGGGCTTGGGTTTACCTGATATTGAAACCTACTATAAGGCAGTCATACTACATCGCATATACGAATGGACAGCACCGCACCCGCACAGACAATGGAGAACTATAGAAGAGACGTTCCTCTCCACACACGCACACAATGTAGTCTGGCACCCCAAAGGGCGAATGCTACAAAAGCCACCCTTCTCACAACACCCGACCATCACCCCCGCACTGAAGGTTTGGAACCAAATCAGGGATTCCCAAGTACTATCCCCACACCCATCTCCACACTACCCGATAACAAACAACCCTCTTTTTCCACCGGGCTGTCAAACCCAATTCCTACAACACAACACACAATCACAACAACTCACACTACAAGATGTGATACAAGGGGGAAACATTAAACCACTGACAGATCTCATAGTTGACTCCCGGATAACAACGATGCACACTTTCCAACACGCACAATTGACACACTTTCTTAAAGCCGACAATACACTTCTAACGAAACTCCGGCCACAGACAGAATCTATGCCAAACGCAGGGGATCAAAAGCAAACACCTCTCAACTATGTACAAACTCCTCCAAAAAGACAACAATACTAGTTTCCCACCATTTACACAAACATGGGTGTCCGATCTGAACACATCAATCCCCGACACCGATTGGACGAAAATTCTAACCAAGGCTCACTCTACTACAACGAATAGCACCATACAAGAAAGTAACTACAAAAAAATTACCAGATGGCATTATACACCAGACAAATTGAGTAGAATATACTCAAACACCCGGAACCTTTGCTGGAGATGTAACCAAACCCCAGCTACATCTGCACACATATGGTGGTCTTGCCCTATAATAAATGCTTTCTGGAAAAAAATCTCAGACCTGATTAAACACATCACAGACATCTCTCTACCCTTCCTCCCAGAATCTTACCTATTCTTGCTACCCCCAACCGACATCCCTAAGACACGACTCCACCTCATCAACCATCTACTGACGGCATCAAACCTACTAATACCTATAAAATGGAAACAGACCCTAGCACCCTCAGTTAGGGAATGGATACAAAAAGTGGAAGACACTAGGGTCATGGAAGAACTTACCTTCTCACTCACCCATAGATACGCACACTACAAACAAACCTGGGAACCTTGGACCCAATTTCTAGACAGAGGCAATCAGGAGTAGGGAAAGGGACACAATCGATAGCACCACACGGTAAGACCGAAAATTGACACTATACACACTAGCTGTAGACTATAACCAAAACCTTACCACAAGGACGAACCTAACGATCTCTCCAGTCACGGCTACCACACACGAGGACTGACGCAGACAACATAGACTACATATTCGTAATATCTCCGACACATATAGTTATTTGATTGTGCCATTGTAAACTGACATGAAGCCACATCATCTACACAGCTGGTATATTATTTACGCATTGTTATGTTTTACGAAACCAATGTTACTGTTAATCCGTTCTCAAAATGACGAATTGTTATATAATCACCCTGACGGGTTTAGCAATCCGAGAAAGGATTGTCGTTCATCTACACAAACTGAAGTATGAGAAACGATTGTTATCCATCTTTGCATACCAAAATAAGAGAAATGTTTGTTACTCAATTATGTATATTGAAAAATAAAAATATAAATAAAAAAAACAAAAAAAAAACAATGTCTAAAATATTATTGCATATAATTGATATCTCCAGTTAAAATAGTTGGATTACAAAATTGTCTACCTTTATAGAACTTGCTGGTAGTACATTTATAACTCTTAGTGGAGAGAAGAAAAAAAAAAAAAATTAGGGGGGAGAAAGAAAAGGAAAAGGGCCAAACCCAGATTGTATATTCCTGGGTTACCCAAGTTATCAATGTCCGCGATTTTGAGTGCTATGAAGTAAGAGTTGATAAATAGCTTCGCCATCTATCAGCTACTTTCGGGCTTAAACTCCCTATTCTTGTTTGCTTCCACATAATAAGTTCGTACTCTACTGTTATAGACATCAAAGACCTGATTTCTTGTAAGGAAGGTAATTCTGAGGATTTCCAGTTTTTCGCTATTAATATTGATACTGTAGATAAAATTAGAAAAATCAATTTCCTTATAGATTTAGTAATATTATCTGGGAGTACTTTGAGAAGTAATATCTTTGGTTTATGTTCTAGTTTACATTCTGTGGCTTCTTCAATCATTCTCTCTGTATCTTTCCACAAATTATTTACTTTATCACATGTCCACCATATATGGAACATAGTGCCTTTATGTAGCTGGCATCTCCAACATATATCCTCCACGTCTGGATAGATTGATCGGAGGCGACTCGGTACCATATACCACCTATACAATATTTTCCGTGAAGTTTCAAAATGTTGAGCGCATGATGATAAGCTTTTATGTATTGTAAAGATGTTTTCCCATGCTTCTTGAGTTATAGGTTCTTGAATATCTCTTTGCCAATCTAACATAAATTTCCATGCTTTCGGTTCTTCTATCTTTGTAAGGTAATCATAACATGTAGAAATAATTTTTTTAGGTGGACATAAAGCTGCACATATTTGTTCAAATTTCGTAACTGATGTACGTAGCATTTCATATCTTGTAAGTATCTTATTATTGAAGAGAAGTGCTTTAAGCTGTAAATATGTGATTATAAACTGTGAGGGAAGGTTGTACTCTTTTTGAAGATCTGAGAAAGCTTTTAACCCATTTTTTGCGAAAAGATGAAAAACTTGAGTTATTCCCTTTTGTTTCCAAGCTTGATAAGGAAAAGTATCGTTGCAGAGATGTAAGGTTTTTATTGCGGTTATCAGTGCCCATGGGTAAGCCGAGCATAATCTTTCCCGATTATTATCCCATATTTTTAACGAATATTTAGTAATTGATAATGTATCAGGGGATATTATCCGTTTCTGCTGGGGAAGCCAAAATATAGAGGAGAGGCTCGAGGTACCACAACAATAACTCTCTATAGCAACCCACTGAGGGGTATATGTTTGTGAATTTATACTGACTATGTTGCTTAAAATTGCTGAATAATAATATGCTTTCAGATTCGGGAATCCCATACCTCCATCATTTATTTGTTTCATTATTAAACTTTTTGAAATTCGAGGATGTTTCCCTCCCCAGCTGAAACGAATTAGTATCGCCTGTAATGCCGAAATATATGTTTGCGGAATTTTAATCTGTAGAGACCTAAACAGGTAAAGTATTTTTGGTAAAATTTGCATCTTCAATGTCGCTATTTTTCCTACCCATGATAATATAATATTTCCCCACGTTTTCAATTGTTTTTCAATATCTTTAAGTAATCTTGTATAATTTGCTGGAAAAAGTTCTTTTTCATTTTTTGTAAATCTGATACCAAGGTACATTTGGTGTTTCAAGGCGATTCTTAGGGGACCTTACATGTTCCATAATTCTTTCTTTGAAAGCTCTAAAAGTCTTGCCTACGTACTTTTGTCCACATGAACAGGACAAGAGATACACCAGGCCCTTCGTGTTACAATTAAAGAAGTTTTTTATCTTGATAGAGACTTGACCAGTACTATCATTCACTGTTTTGGATTCTTTAGAGATGTATTTACAAGCTACACATCTACCACAGCCATAGGAGCCACATGGAGGATTACCCAGCCATGTGTCCCGTGGCTGTGGTTTAATAGATAGATGGCTTGGTACTAATAGGTCGCGAACATTACGACCCCTTCTGGCCGTAATATTAATACATGGACCTAGGACCTCTTTCAAATGTGTATCATTCAAAAGGATCGGCCAAAATCTATTCAGGCATTTTCTTACTTCAGACCATCCCGTATCAAATGTGGCGATCATCCGAATGTCGCCTGTATTTTTCGAGATTTTGTTCTCGGGATGGTCACTAAGAAGTTCTTTTCTATCAGTTTCAAGTGCTCTCTTGTAAGCTTTTTTAAGACAGCGATTAGGGTAGCCTTTCTCCTTAAAATACAAACAAAGTTGATTTGCCTTTATTTTGAAATCTGCTAAATCGCTACAGTTTCTCCAAAGGCGAAGATATTGGCCAACCGGAATCCCCACCTTAAGAGGCCTTGGATGATAACTATTCCAATGGAGCAGGGAATTTGTAGCGGTCGGTTTTCTGTATAAAGTGGATTGAAGTGTCCCGTCCTCATTGTGGGGATATTTATGGGATAATAATAGTAACAGTGAGAATTGCCCACTAATTCAATTCTCAGATCCCAAAGAACGTTTATCGTGTTAAGTGAAATGTATACCATATAAATAATATTCACAGTTTATATAAAAATAGATTTTTATTTATGATAACCAATAATTAATAATAATATATGTAACATGCATGACAATAATCAATGAATATTCAGTATAAAATGGTATGCAATACAAAGGAATGGGTATTACGTTTCAATGGCTAAAAAGCATTTTCTGTCAAGACTTTATTTATGACTATCTTTCACAGACTTAAAGTGAAACTTTTCACAGTGAAGAACAGAATTCCTCAGAGTGCAGCGTAAGGTCGTAAAGTTTAGCAGACAGTTAGAATAACCCTTTCAATGCTGGCTAGATCTCCTAGGTAGTTAAGATCTATTCTTATGTATTTTTAAATAAAATAACATTTAAACCAGTTCATTAGTCATTTCCTGAAAACATCCAATAAGAGAATCTAACATATATATAAGCAAATTTTTAATTTGTCTAAAAGATATCTATCTTAATTTAGAGCAAATCAATACACCTTGATAAAAACAGCGGTATGCTACCACGTGATAATATCACATCAATATATAATTATTCTTAATTCCACCTGCAGAATGGAATATTTATAACTATATATTCTTAGTTAACTAAGATTTCTTAATATGGAAATCTGACCGTGCTTTATCCAGTCATATATAATGCTATTAATACATTTTAATTAATTTAATTTAATTAAATGAAACCAGTATAATTACCAGTTGAGTAGATATTTCATCCGATTGGTAGTCTCTCTCCATGGAGGTGTTGGTTAGAAAGTCATTAAATTCTAAGTGTTAGAGTTTTAGGAGTAGAGTGTTAGTCTCAGATGTTGTCCGAGTTGGAGTCCCCAAACTTCCAATTCCTCTCTCCTCTCCTTTGCATATCTTGTATCTGCCTCCTCTTTCGTATATCTCTCTTCCCTTTGTCTTAACTTTTAAAGGGCCAGACTCTCTGTACGTCATCAGTTGATAACCCAATAGAAGCACTAGAGGTGTGGTTATCTTCCAGATCGCAATTTAGTTATTTGGTCTATAGAGGGCAGTCTTGTCCCACTAAACATACCTATCCAGGAAAGAGTTAACTTTTCCTGGTGGCTATTTTGACGTCATTTTGCGTTATCTTTATAGCGCCATAATTTAAAATTTCAAAGGGTTTCTTAAATTTTGTCCAGACTTAGCGTCTGCAATTCCTGCCATAATTTCTGATATGACAGATCATGAACTAAGTTTACCCTTTTCCATACAATGGTACCTTATATATATATAGACAGTTAAATTTTATTATTTAATCTTCTCTGTCACAATTGTCTGGGTTTAAATTTGATTATATTCCATTAGCATTTTAGACAGTCTATCCAGCCCCCTTCCTTATCACTTGTTTATACTATGCATTCCTTAGCTCTGGCAAAGAGGCCAGTCTTACAGAAAGAAATCTAGTGTCGTCTTTGTTAATTTGAAATAACAAAATGGAGTCTGGTCTGTTCAGAGTGACTCAGAATATACACTTTTAGTTTCTATCATAGCACAAAATGTCTGCCGATATAAATACCCTGACATCATTGATGGAAATCGTGATGTCTAAAAAATTAATTGAACATCCCCCAAATTCCGAAGTGCATCTGAGGTTCTCCGTATTCTGATTTAGACATTCCACTAAATCTACAAATTCCTGTGGGGACCCTTGCCATACCAATAGAATATCATCGATATAGCGTCCCCACCATAGGATCTTCGGGAGATAATAATTTTCTGAGGAAAAGATGTCTTTTTCCCACCACCCCAGGTGGAGGTTTGCATACGAAGGTGCACAAGCTGTCCCCATCGTAGTACCCCTCACCTGGTGATAGAACTTCGTATTAAACAGGAAATAATTATGTGATAGAATAAATTCTAAAAGGCGTACCACAAAATCTGCATGAAGATCATCTCTATGTGTCCTTTGGTTTAGGAAGAATCTTACATGTTCAAGACCCCTATTATGGGGGATGAATAGAGTGATTCAACATCCAAACTACAAAGGTTTGCACTTGAGGATAGCTTAAGTTTAGAAAGTAGATTCAAAGCTTGTTTAGTATCTCTTATGTATGATGGCAAAGTCTCTACCAAAGGTCTCAAAATTTTATCCACGTACAGGCTACCATTCTGCGTAAGATTATAGGTCGCCCTGGAGGGTCCTGTAAGTTTTTGTGGATTTTCGGCAGGCAGTAGAAGGTTGCTATCTTGGGCTGACGATTAAGAACAAATTCATACTCGTCACCCGATAGCAACCCTCCACTGCGGCCTCTTTTTTCGGACGAAATATGTGGGCGTGTCAAAACGAAGACCAAGCCCCCCTATGACAGGCGGGCATGTTTTGGCGCCAATTGTAAGTGCATATAAGGGAGAGGACTAAGGGAGGATATTTGCACACTATCATACCCTTGAGAAAGGCGGACATTACCGCCGAAACGCGCGTTGGGCTCCTGCTATATGGGGTGGGGCGGGGGGTGTACTTGGGCAATTAGCCTGTTTTCATCGGTTGAATTATAGTTCAGGTTCATTTGACCTATTGAACATCTTCTATTGCCTCCCCACTTTATTCTTCATTCTCTCCACTGATATCTTCCTGTCCTTTCGATTTACCTACTTTGATAAAGATACTTGAAGCCACTGTGGCCAAGATATACCTATCTATATATGTATTTAACCATTAATATCTATATATTTTATACTTAATCTGGATATCTAATAGTGAAGAGTATATTCGTTGTGTGTAGGAATTGGAATGCAGCTTTTAGCTGGTGTCTACTACATTTATATGTGTCACTACATGGATACTGTTGCTAATTTGAAATAGCTTATGTGTTTACTACTTCTCTACTGGATTTTGTGCAACTCAGTATCCAAATGTATCATATAGTTATATGCACTCTAGCTGATTCCCTTTATTCCTAGTTTATAGCAGTTTGGTGTATTATAGCACACTATCTATGGGATTTTTAATCTTTTTCAATAAATCTTTATTATTTTTTCTATACACGGTTAGTGGGCAAATAAAATTTATTGCTCTATAGGGGGTACTAGTCCTGAGGGGATCTATTCCCGGTGTTTCTGGGATTCTTGCCCCTCTTTTTCTTTGTATATATATATTTATGTTTTTGTTTATATTTGAATTAAAGGAAAAAGAATAAAGTTCGGGTGAGTCCTACCGTTGTAAGTTTAATAAATGCTGTGGCCTGTTTCATCCAATATTCGTTGTCTGTCGTTATTGGGGGGATAAGTGGGGTACAAAGACCTCAGGTTCTATTGTTGAACACAGATTGGAGTGCCTTTTTGGCATTATAGATGTTTTGGGAACCTATATAAATTTAGAAATGGGGTAAAGACTCTTTGTCTTAAAGGAAACCTATGGTGCTAGGAATACCAAACTGTATTTCTAACACCCTCTTCACCCTTCTTTTCAGTTACCTGATTGTTTGGTCAGGCTACGCCAATATCAGGTCCCTCCTGCGCATGTATGTACGTAGTGGGGAATTTGCAGATGCTCCCTTATACATAAATTAACCCCATTAAACCCCTCCCATTTATTATAACATAAATAAATTAATACTGCATAACACATCCATAACTTTATTTACACTCCAAAATCTTCTTTCTGTAACTAAAATTGTTAAACATAAATAAGCATACATTAACATATATACAAATATAACAACACACAGTGTTATACAGTAACCCAACCGTCCTTGCCAGTAAACATACCGTGGTTCCTAATCACCACTTCCTCTCACATCCCCCCTCGTCATTTTGGCAAAACTAGCCACTTAAGACTATCAATATATGAATCTGTTTATATTCCTTCTAAACCTGTGAGAACCAAGTATATGACTGTATTTACTTTCCAGGCAAATGAGGGCATTCGTATGCTGGCGGCATGAAAACCCCAGCATTCATACTGTAGTTTCACGAACAGTGAGTTTCAGCACTGTTCGTGAAACGAATAACCTACTGAATGGACGGCCACACACAGGAGGTCGTGTGGTGCCCATTAACCGATTGCAACATTGTTGCAATCAGTAGTTAAAGGCTTTCCTAGGTGGCCGTCGTTCGGCTACCGACCACGCGGCGGTCGGCCATCTTGGTTCCTTTGTTAGCCCAGCGGTGTTTGGTCATCGAGCACCTGGAACTTAAATCGGCTACTCGACGATGCGAACACCGCTGGACTTCCAGGCCATTCGGGAGCCCCGGGCATTCGGTTGTTTGTTCCCCTAATACCAATCGGTACTTTAAAGGTGATTTGAAAATAATGTGTGTTTCGTGCGGCGTTCGGTTAGTTAGGCTGGGATCTGAGCGGTATTCTCACAAACTGTGCGCTCAGACCCCAGCTATCTACCAGCGATGCTACTTCATTACTTATGAATTCAATACTGTACCCTGGACGCGGGCCTCAAATATGGGCTTCTTCATTCCACTTCATGTACTTTGTGTCCCATAGGAGAACATGCTTGCCAGAGTTGTGACACACACAAAAACAAATAAAAAAACTGGTTAGAGTAACTGGCATAACAGACACAGTGCATGCAGACTTGCCACATACATACAGCAGACAGACACAAAGATTTTGACACACCGGATTAAATATAAGAATTGGGAGTACCATACATACACAATGCACAAAGAGACAGAGATTACAGAATTCAGTGACCCACGGATTTGGTTGCAGATGTGGGGCAGTCCATCTGGCTGGGGTGCAGTTTCTCATCTTTCTCTGGCGAGACCCCCTCAATATACTGCCCAGACCCCCCCAATATACTGCGCAGACCCCCCCAATATATTGCGCAGACCCCCCCCATATACTGCGCAGACCCCCCATATACTGCGCAGATCCCCCAATATACTACGCAGATGCCCCATATACTGCGCAGACCCCCCAATATACTACGCGACCCCCCCATTTACTGCGCAGACCCCCCATGGCTGAGAGTGTTGGGAGCAGGGAGAGACTGACCTGGTAGATGACAGTCAGGATGCTCCAGATGATCAGACACCGCGCGTGCGCACTGATGGGTAGGGAGATTTCACAGTGAAAGTGTCCATCAGATCTCCCTGCCCCATATGTCAGGCTATAATAGCTGGGTCTGCGCGTGTATCCCACCGACGGGAGTAGTTAGCCATGTGTGCGCACTGGCCCGTAATTTTTCCCTACCCTGTATCCCCTGGCGAGGCTCCCTGCGCATGCGCAGTGACGGCCAGCGGCTAGCTGTGAAATTTCTCCCCAGCGCTTGCTGGGAAAATTTCCTACTCTGTGGTTGTGCACCTGCGCTGTGCGGCACACCTCCTCCTCCACTGGCGAACATCACTTCCGGTGCGGCCGCGTCACCGGAAGTGACGAGGGTAGGAAATTCTAACGGGGTAGGGTTTTTTGATAGAACAACGGCTCTCCTGCTCCCCAAGCAGAAAGAAGACCTTACTGCAGTCTAGACCTCTTCACAGCACCAAGGTAGTCTAAGAGGGATTGTTTATCGTAGGAATAGTTGTAAATTGGTGTGTGTGTGTGTGTGTGTCTGTTAAACTGCTGTATTTCTGTGTGTAAATAAAGTGTGAATTTATTTATGAGCTTGTGTTTGAGTGACAGTGTGTGTGTGTGAGTGTGCAAGTGACACTGTGTGTTTGTGACACTGTGTGTTAATGAGAGTGTGTAAGTGGCACTGTGTGTTAGTGAGAGTGTGCAAGTGACACGTAATGTTAGTGAGAGTGTGTAACTGACAGTGTGTGTGTATGTTAGTGAGACTGCGTACCTTACACTGTGTATGTCAGTGAGAGTGTGCAAGTGACACTGTGTGTGTGTTAGTAAGAGTGTGCAAGTGACACTGTTAGTGAGAATGTGCAAGTGAAACTGTGTGTGTTTAATGAGCACGTGTGACACTAAGTGTGTGTTTGTGAGAATGTGCACGTGACACTGTGTGTGTATGTCAGTGATAGTGTGTGTTAGTGAGAGTGTATAAGTGACACTGTCTATGTCAGGGAGTGAGTGTTAGTGAGTGTAGCTCTTTTTTCCCTAAATGTGTGCTTACTATGTCTCTCTCCTAAATGTCTCCCAGTCTCTGTTTCCTAAATATCTCAACAGTCTCTCTATCCTTTCCCTAAATGTCTCCCCAGGCTGTTTGCATTTTCTAACTTTCTCACTGTGCATCTGCTTTCACTTAAAGGACACTATAGGCACCCAGACCACCTCAGCTCATTGAAGTGGTCTGGATGCACTGTCCCAGGGCGCTTAATCCTGCAAAAGTAATTATTGTAGTTTTTAACACACTGCAATAATTACCGTTATGGGTTAACTCCACCTCTAGTGGCTGTGCATGGGGATGTCCAGCGGCACACAAAACCCCATAGGAAAGCATTGTATAATACTTTCCTATGGGGAAATCCTAATGCGGCCAATGAGGAGCGAAGGGTACGTGATGGAAGGGTTTTCTAACCCCTTTTGCACCACGAGGTAGAGGCGCTTGATAGAGGGGGAAGCTATAGTGCCAGGAAAACAAGTTTGTTTTCCTGGC